GCATCTTGTCTTACTTAGTTTAGCTTTGTGGGAGAGGAGAAACAAATAAAAATTCTTGAATTGTGAGACCAAACCACTGTTTTCCTTGGATGCTACTCTCCTTCTCCAAATTTTCACAGCCACAGCAGGCAAATACAATTAATGCTTGCATTTTATTAAATCAAATTACAGGTTAATATAAAACAAAGCAGACTAATTTTATTTTCCTTTCCTAACCTTCAGTCTTAAATATTTCAAGTTCACTTTTCCTTGAATTATTTGTTCAGGGGAACTGTATAAGGTTTCCTGACTTGTAGTCAGCTTTCCCATATGCTAGAAACAAGAACATTTCCACCTAAAAGAGGGAGAGAATGAGTAATGACTTTTCCAACACTTACCAGTGTGGTAGGCTGAACGGCGGCCTTCCAAAGAAGCCCGCATTCCTAATATCTGGAACCTGTGACTATTATGCTTCTCTACATGGCAAAGGGCACTTCCAGATGGGATTTAAGGATTTGAGATGGAGAGGTTATTCTGGATTACTCAGCTGGGCCCAATGTAACCACAAGGGTCCTTGTAAGAGATAAACAAGAGAGGAAGAATGAGAGGAGGAGATGAGATGAACAGAGGCTGGAGTGATGCCACTTCTGGAAAAGGGCCATGAACCAAGGAACGCGGAAAGCCTCCAGAAGCTGGAAAAGGCAAGAACGGAACACATTCCGCTGACACCTTATTTTAGCCTAGAAGACCAATTTTCAGACTTCTGACCTCCTGAAAGGCAAGATAATAAATTTGCATTGTTTTAAGTCACTAAGTTGTGGCATATGTGACAGCATCAAAAGAAATTATTACAAACAGGGACTCTGAGGTATCCAAACAGTTCTAGAGAGTTGCTAGTCCAGAGAGGTGAATACTAAAAATTAAGTAGAAGCTGTTTGTCTGATTGGTGCTAGATTTACAAGGTGAGCAAAATGACCCTCATCATCTCCATGAGCTCATTCCTGTGACAACTCCTACCCTAGTTGTGGATATCAGTTTGATTAGTGACCAAATCACCTTTTTTTGTAAGGCTTATGTATTCATGTGAAATTTGTTATTCCAGAACCAACCAGGCTCTCCCTGAATGATTTAACCAAAGAGTCTGGCAAAAGCCAGGCAAGATGCCTCAGGGC